GCAGGCAGTTTACACTAAAGCCCCAGAGGACGTGCTGCAGCAGCTGGGGAGCATAAAGAATCCAGGTGATGTTCACAGAACCATTTACAGTGGGGAAAGCAACCTCTTCCAGAAGGGCAGGGCTGCCACACCTCAGGCTGCCTGGAGCTGTGAGCCTGAGCCATCAGGTACCTCAGGAGGTACTGACAGATCTGCAGGATCACTTGAGTTTGGAACTGGGCTTGAGTAGGTGTCAGCACCTGAAAGGAGGAAGAAGACTTGGACTGACCTAATTTTACTGGGTCACTTTTCTCCTGGGCTCTGGGCCCTCCTGCCATCTGCTCCTCTGCCTCAGCTGATCCCACCTGTTTGAGAGCCATCATATTGTGTCTAATACAGTTTTTACTTTGCAAGTAACTGCTAGTGGTGGATAGGAGTCTGCTGTCTGCTGGCCATCCAAGGTGTGTGAAGCACTAGGGAGGGGGTCAGTTGGGTTTTATTAAAATACTTTGTTCCATAAATTCAGTATTTTATATACACATGTTTTGGTATGGATGTATTTTGGTCAAAGTCACCTATCCAGATCTGTCATCCCTTCACTACCTACTCTTTCTTCTTGGTCTGCTCTGAACAGATTTATCTTGTGTTTAAAAAGCACTGTAGGGCTCTGTTGGACCTCTCCTCCTCTGGAGATGTTAGGGAATATCACATGAGCTCAATGTGTCTACTCAGCAGAGGGTTACCTAACAGATTTCAATCCTTATATTTGTTTCATAAAAATACTTCTACTAAAACTATTCCTGCACTCAGAAAACTTGTCTCAAAACTCTGAAGTTACTTGATTTTACAAAATAAACCCCTTTTCCCTCCTTTATCCCTGCTGGGTGCTACCACAATATCATCATGGACTTTTCCACATTCCTGTTTCCAAACAGAGCACCTGCACACACTGAAAACGAAGGTTAAAGAAAAATACATCCTTGCCAAAGCAAAGAACCTGTTTAGCAGCTTACACAGTCATCTTGTAAAAACTCTTTCTGGACAGTATTTCTTTCGGAGAGGGCCATAAACTTTGCTTACACGTATTAGGTGAGACAACCTCAATGAGAAGATGCTCAACACCTTCATGCAAATCCATGACACACCAGCTTTTAGGGAAGGTTGTCCTGGAAAAGAGTATTGCACATTTACCCTCTGGATTTCAGTAGAACTGTACGTGTGACTCAACCCAGAGATCCTTATCATCAATTCTCAACCCCCTCCCTGTGGTGAAAGCTCTCCCTTGTCAGATTTGTGCTTTCACATAGAATAAATTATTTCTGTGCAAGAAGGGAGGCCAGTTGGATTTTGGCCAGTTGGAGCCTTGCTGGGCTGTGCTTTCGTGAGCAAAGTAACAAGAACACTTAGTCTGCACTTCTGAGAGCTGAGAGAACTTTTGGGGGAGGCTCTTTGCAATAGTAACTCGAGGCACCAGCAGTGTGGCTAAAGCAAAAAAATGTTTTATTGTGGCTTTCAAGTGAAGCATTCATGGTGTGCCTGACTTTTCTGAGTGATTTTCTTGTATGAAACCTTCATTCTAACAAAAAAAAATATTTATTGCTATAAATCAGAAATTACTTGGGACATGAAGAGAATTAAAGGTCAGTGGCAAATAATGTGAGCAAGTCAAGAGTGTCAAAGCAAGAAAAACATGTATTGCAAATGGGTCACAAAGCCCTGCTAAGAGGGTTTGATCAAACATCTTCTCCAAAGTAAATTTACCTTCAGAGATCCTTTGAACAACATCCAATTTTAAACAGCCTTTAATCTTTACCTGGAGAACAACAGCATTCAGAACATCAGAACATTCACAAGAAGTTTCCAATCATGTAGAAAAATGGGTTCAATGTTGTGAAATGCATTCATGAGCTTCTACAGTTAATAGAAGATAGAAGCAATGCTCTCCATTTTCCCCTTATGCCACTGTGTATATCTTCTAGTTGAGTTCAGTGATTTTTTTTTTTTTTTATTCATTTAAAGCTGGTATTCGAAATACCAAAGTTTAAATAAGGAAGGTTTTGTAGCTGGAAAGGAAAAGGCATTGTGAAGGAACAAACATAAGAGTGGCAGTTACTCAGCAGTTACTCAGTCTGTCAAGGTCCCGGGCAGGCAGGTGATGTTTGAAGAAACAACTCTACATTATCTCTACAGTACATTACAGCTATTTTTAAGCAAAATCTGATCTTAGTCACCCTTATTTTCAGCTAAACCAGAGGTCTCAGTGACTTTGTACACTGAGGTTAGCAAAACAATAAAAAGAGGAAGCAGGGCTGTTGCTGTGCTGCATGTCACGAAATATCCTCCCAGACAAACGTACCCCATCCCCACCACCCTTCGTGTCAGAGGAGAAGCAGTGCAAGTTTCTCTTACCCACTTGCCATGCCAGGAAGAAGTTTTCCTCTTAGCAAATACTCTGAGCAGGGCTAAGACAACCCCAGAAATCCTCCTGGTAGTCCAAGGCACGGAGCTGTCTCCCTTTTATACCCCCAGGACTGTCACTCACCCTGACAGGCAGCACAAAAGGGAAGGGACGGGCAGGAGGTGCCAAACCCCACAAGCACCACAACTCACGCCTCTCTCAGCACGGGAACACTCAGACCAGGAAGTCACAGCCACCTGCACCTGGCTCCTGCTGTTCCTCCCCTCCTCCAGCCGGGAATACCGCAGGTGACAGCGGGGACACTCAACCACCACCGCCTCTCCCACCTGGATTTCCAGGAGCAATCCTGAAATCCCTGCAGGAACTTCAGGCATGAGTCAGGGCATTGCATCTGGATTATTTCCTAAGCAGAGTTTAGATTTCTGAGTGACTTTTGGGCCCCAGAAATGAGCACTGCAAGTCTGAAAGCCCTGAGACAGACAGGACATTCCAGTCTTGCTATTCCACGTACAGTTATTATTTGACAAGAGAAGGGAAGATGATAAAAAAATTATAGGTGGGGAAGGAAAAAAACCTAACATATGCTTCTTAATTCTTCTCTGTTCTTGTGAATATTAGGAGGCATTATAACAAAGAAATGCTTTAGAAAGGCAGCACTTTGCATGCAACACCTGAAGCAAGTGGTGGCAGGTGCTGGTAAATGCAGGTACCCACTCCAACACTTGTCCTGAGAAACTTGCATTCATTATGTGCTTAAGTGAACCCTCAGACGGTTTAAAGCCTTTTTTTGTTTGATTGGTAATTTTAGTATTTTCTTCATAATAATTAACTCTTGAAAACATAGCTTTAAGTCTAAACTTTATATATTTATATTTATTTCATTATATTTAATATATAATATTTATATATAAGTATATATATGTATAAATATAAATATATATATATACACACACACAGAAGCCAAAATGGCTTGGTGTTAGACTACCAGTTATAGAAGTGGTTCTGCACCTCTGGTCCATGTACCCCTCCAAAGAATCACATGAGCCAGATAAAGCCCCTGACAGTGAAGACACTGGACAAATATAATTGCACAAGGAATAAGACTTAAAACACATAAAAGTGAAGCTTTCTTATGACACTGATATCTCAAACTTGAATATCTTTAATTTGAACAGAAATTTTCCTTACCATTTTTTACCAGTATTTATTGCAGCTCTGGGTAAACACAAAAAATCCAACGTCCTGGATTTATCAAGTGCCCCAGTTTATCAGCTGAATGCAGGAACTCTTTTTCTAGGTTTTCATTTAAAATACAAAAGCCAGTGGGCATATTCTGTCTCTAAGAAAGTTGCGACTTCTTTACTCCCACTGGCAGAAAGAGCCCAGACAGGAGCCCAGGGAATTTCCATTTACAAGCAGTGACATCACTGGGGTCAGTGTTTAAGTTAATCTTTGATAAAATTGCACAGGTCGGGTCAGCAGCATCACCAGCAATCTCAAAAACAAATGTGTACTTAAATTTGGTTTAAAACTTTGTCACGTGATTTAGACATTGAGCTAAGAATAACGAAGGCATCCCACACTGAAAGGGGTGTGTTCACCAACAGCAATGAAGGACTGATCAAGGGCAAATTGATCAGAGAGTTTGGGTTGTTCCGGGTCTAATGCAGTTAGAAAACCCGAGTGTCCAGAGAGCAGCCTCGGAAAATACGTGGGTTGGCTTTCTCTGCAGAAACCCATCGCAAGGGGGTTTTTGTGCAAGAGTTGAGGCCTGGCTGCCCCTGCTCTCTGTTCCTCCTTTTCTGTCACCCAAAAGAAGGCTGAGCATGTGGACTAATTAGCACAAGAAGTGAGGGAATCATTTAACCAACAGAAGATAGAATATGAATCAATAGGAGAACTATGCCACTTGTTGCCAGTGAGCAATAATTCCTTTGTTTGATGCATGATTCCTTTGTTTGATGTATAATTCCTTTGCTAACATATATATGGATGATGAAAAGTTCAGAACGATCCCGGGGAGAGGAAGGACCAGCGGGACAACGCTTGGACCCGCGGGTGGGTAACTAGTTAAACAAAACCCACTCTCTGGACTTCAGCACACGGGCTGCTCGGTGCCTTAATTTGGGAAGAATTAGGACAAGAGGGCTCGGTCTCAAGCTGTGCCAGGGGAGGTTTAGGTTGAATATTAGGAAGCAATTCTTTACAGAGAGAGTGATCAGACACTGGAATGGGCTGCCCAGGGAGGGGATGGATTCTCCGTCCCTGGAGGTGTTTAAGAAGGTACTGGATGTGGCACCAGTGCCACGGTGTGGTAACCAGCGGGGTCGGATCAGGGGTTGGAGCTGATCATGTCGGAGGTCTTTCCCACGGTGATTCCGCGATTCCAAGAGCCGCCTGTCACTAGGCGGACCGGACCCCGCTCTGGGGTTATTCAGGCAGCTAAGAGAGGGCAAGAGGGCTGCGATGACACAACACCCCCCACTGCCCAGTGCCCCCCGGACGGTCCCTGCCAGCCCCGCCCGGCGTGACGTCACGGGGCGGGGCTCAGCGCTGCTGCGGGTGACGTCACGGGGAGCAGGGAGGTGCATCCCAGCGTGACGTCACGGGGCGGAGCGGGCCGGGCGGTTCCTGCAGCCATGGGGTCGCAGCTCAGCGTGGTGAGTGCCGGGGAGCGGCCGGGAGCGGGGTGGGGTAGAGTGGCATGGCATGGCATGGCATGGGATGGGATGGCATGGGATGGGATGGGATGGGATAGCATGGGATGGCAGCGGAGCAGACCGGTCCCTGCCATCCCCCCCCCCATGGTCCCCCCTGCCCATCCCCGGCTCCCCCCGCAGGGACCCCCGCGGCCTGGCGGTGCCCCGGGCTGTCCCCGCTGCCTCCCGTCCGCGCTGGGCTCCGCGGGGGGCTCTGCTCTTGTCCGGCCGCTCCCACTCCCATCCCTCCTGCCGCGCAGTTGCAGGGTGCGGCTTTCCCTCCGTCGGGATCAGCTGGAAGGGAGTGGGTTCAGATCGGCTCTTAGGAAGGCATTCTTCCCTGGGAGGGTAGGGAGGCGCTGGAACAGATTGCCCGAGGTTGTGGCTGCCCCATCCCTGGCAGTGTCCCAGGCCAGGTTGGACGGGGCTTGGAGCAACCTGGGACAGTGGAAAAGTGTCCGTGCCCATGGCAGGGGGTTGGAACTGGATGAGCTTTAATGTCCCTCCCAGCCCAGCCCCTTCTCCGGTTCCGTGATCATTCCTGCTGAATGATGGGGTCTGCAGCGCTGTCATCTCTCCCGTGCATCACCCCCCTCTTTCCCCAGACCTTCATCCCTGTTTCTTTTGTCTTGGGCACCTGCCCGAACGCTGCTGGGTTTGTGCGAGCGGCAGGACGGAGCTGGGTACAACATGTGCTCGTTTGGGCACGGCTCCTTGCTGGGTGCGCTGAACGGAGCACACGAGGCAGATGCTGAGGCTGCACAAGTGAAGAGATCCCTTTATCCTCTCATCGTTTTCTAAGACAGATGAGAAGAATGTCTAGCTAAGATCACATCAAAAACAGGGTTTGAACGAGGGAGTGAGGGGAGGGGGATTGGAGCTGAGGGTGCCATGGTTTTCGTGCCAAAGCAGGGTTTGTTTGTGTGTGTGTAGGGCAGGTCGGTGCTGGAGTGTCCAGCCTGGAGCTGTGTTAACTGTGCCCTGCTCACCACGCCCCAGCAGCTGGCACTCTCCATGCTACGGCTTTTCTCTTTGTTATCACACCAGGGTCTGTTTCCATGAGTAAAAATTCCTGCTCAGTTACTAATTCTGTGTTCTCTGTTAGCAGAGATTTGTGCAGCTGGAAATGATGAGTCACCAGCTCCTCATTTAGTGATTCCCAGGCCTTTTGGTCAAGCCAGTCACTCTCAGCTGCTGGGGGCCTGATGGTCCAGGGATGCAGTGCAGTTATCTTCATTAACACCATAGTCTGCCCTGTGCTGAGAGCTTGTAGATCATTTTAAATCCAGAGAATGTTTTTCTTAGCAGGCATAACTTTTTATACTCATTCAGCCTTCAGTTCTTCCCCTTTTTTCTCTGCCCACCTGCTGATAGCTTCTGGGTAAGGAACTGAAATTACCTGAATTGGTGGGTGTGCTGTTTCTTTCCAGGCCAGGTCCCACGAGGCTTTAGCACTAATTGACCATGAATAACAAATTACTTTCCACGAGGCTAGCGCTGTGTTCAGATTGTTTGTCAAAACCAAACTGCGTTCTGTTCCAGCACAGTCACTGCTGCACAGAGTGATGATGATGATGCACATTTGGGGACAGAGCGTGGTAATCTCATTTATTGAACAGCTGTGACAGCTGATGACCCCAAAATTATTTGCAGAGGTGGGAGAAAACATTTATCTCCGCACACAGGTGGAGAAAGTGACTTGCAGAGACGGACGGCAGTTTGAACCCCACCCTCCCCCTGCCTTCCCACTCATGGTACTGATATTAATGTTGGAGTTGGCACTGAGCCTGAGGTTTTGAATTTCAACTGCATTTTTGCCAGACAACAGCAGCATTGTTGGCAGTTTTTTGGTCCATTTTAGACAGGCACATTTGTAAATGAAACTATTTTGACACATTAATATTTCATTTGAAACACCATCTGCCTCAGAGTCTGATTGCTGTTGCCACCAGGTCTCATTCCCCTGCTAAATTCTCATGAGGGAGTTTCTTTGCTGCTCTGTCACTTTCTTAAACAACTCTCCTCACTTGCCCTTTGTTGTGTCAGTAACAAAAGCTCCTCCCGGAGCTGCAGTAGTCTGGTGGATCTGTGGGAGTTAAGGAAGAACATTCCTATAAACTTCAGCTTCGTCACAAACAAGCTGTGTGGAGCTATTTCAGTTTGTTGTTTTTTTTTTTTTTTTTTTTCAAATAAACCTGGAAAATGCAGAGTGTGGGTATGGCATGGTGTGTCCTGAAACTGTACACGGTGCTGGTGCATCTTAAACCCCTACAGCAGCATTTTAAGAAGAGAGAAATTACGCTGTCCCTGACTTGCCACAGTTGTAGTAAGAATGATGTAGGAGGTTTGGGGGTTTGTTTTTGTTTTGTTTAAATGATCACTGTCACACTTGCAGAAACGGCATTCTAAGATAGTGGTCAGGTCCCTTTAAAATAAAATGAAAGTGAAAGCTCACCAGGCAGGACTGAGAGCTCACCTTTTGGGTTTTGCTGTAGTCGTGCTTTCCCCCTCTCCTCTGTTAAAGCACTGAATAACAAATTACAGGGCCTGGGAGGATTTTTATAGGAGTTGTTCTCTGTGGATGGAGCAGCACAGAGACACTGGCAGGGCAGGGAGCCCAATTGACCCACTCAGGGACAGGAATCCTGGCCCTGCCCAGAGCTTTCAGGGGGAGCCTTTCCCTGGGCCCCCAGTGATGCCAGCGGAGGCTGCGGAGCTGATTCAGGGACTGGAGCATCTCCCTGAGGGGGAAAGGCTGAGGGAGCTGGGGCTGTTCAGCCTCCAGAGCAGACACTGAGAGGGGACCCCATCCATGTGTGTCAGGGGCTGCAGGGAGGGGGCAGAGGATGGCCCAGGCTCTGCTCGGGGGGCCCAGCAATGGCACAGG